TTACAAAACCTCCAGGTTCGTAAGTTTTAATGCCACTGAATTTTCTAAGCCATCTACCAAATAAACCAAAAATTTTATGATGTGTTATCCTGCTGAGATGCAACCACTCTTCTACTTTTGCTTTTTACTAGTTGTCGCAACGTACTATAACTGACATATATTTTTAGTACATCATTAGAACATGACTATCTTTAAACACCTTCACAACAAGTGGCCAAGCAGGTTCTTCTAATTTCTCCCAGTATACCAGAGATCTACACGACCAGTTGCATAAATCCAGGTAACATAGCTTTGGAACACCATAGCCTAACATTTCAATGACTAATTTCAAGCCTAACATTTTAATGACATTGGTAAGGTACAGTATATGTGTAAACTACAGTGAAGCATTAGCTTTGCCATTGGAAAGAAATGCATTTCCAAAAGCCAAACCCAGTCTCCCTATACTCTGGACATGTACCACAGGTGGACAAACCTCCCCACCTCCCACAGGGCAACAGAGCAGTTAACTCCCACAGACATTTTGGTTTCTTTTCAGCTAGAGCTTTAGCTTTTTCAGCAACCTCTAAAGTGACCTAAGTTGTCAAAACAATTTTGTCTGCTCTGCTACTACCTGTTACTACAGCACTCACAAGCAGAGCCTTCAAACAATGAAGGGTTCAGATGGAGTGATTTCAGCTCTGAAACATCAAAAAAGTTACTATAATACATTTTAAGCACTTTTCTATACAACATGGCACTTTGCACCTGAATTTGCGCCAACTAGAGAAGGAAATAGCAGTAACAGTGCCAGCAGCTAAAGTTAAGAACTCTTGTTCTGCCAATTGACAAGGGCAACAGAAATGACCCAGACACCAACAAAGGCATAGGCTTATTTTACTACCAGTGTTTAAGATATTAGGGAAAAAGATGAATAATGCAATTATTTATACAGTTAGTTTACAAAGCTCTAATTCAAGCAGCACAAACAGCAAACACAGTAAGAAAGGTAATGCACCTAATAATTTCTACACACAGGAAAGAATAGTGATTAAGAAAGATACATCACCAGTTGCCCTAATACTTTACCATCACCCTGACCTGCAGTTGCTGGGGAGCCCCTGGTTGCAGTGAGGATTTGGAGAGCCTTTCTCAGCAATTGGGAAGTCTTATGCAGTGTGTCCACTCATAGGTGATGTGTCCAAAGTTGCTGCAAGAGGATCCAGCTTTTATGGGCCAAATCAGCAAGCAAAAAGTAACTTGCAGTTTTTTGTGGTTTGTGTGGATAACACCTGGTGGTACTCCCCTCCAACCAATCGAGGCTGGGGCTTGGCCAGAGCCCAGGACAAGGGTGGTGGAGTTCCCCTAGATATTTTGTAGATGGTGGCATGGCCTTGGAAATACTTTGCAAACAGAGATACATAGCCTATGCAAAATGTTATCCATTGTTTGGTCATCTATCTTAGCGTCTGACCAGCTGCATCTATGTTATTATGTATCTACTTCCAGCAGTGTAAGTTAACTACCACAATAGAGCATTGATCACAATAACTACAGGATTCAGCAATATGTCAACCTTGGCTTGGGCCTGTTGTTCAGGCCCTAGCATTTCAACTCTGAAGGATAAAACCTGCCCTTCACTCTTCATGAATTATCACACCTTTTTATTGGGCTTTCTTTGAGCTGGAAACCCAATACTTTAGATCATTTTGCGACTGAACAGCAGTAGTCCTTTAATAATATCTTGTTAAGCATTTCCCTTCTTTTAGTAACACATTTTCTTAGTTTTCATTTGTATTGCATTCACAGTTTGTATGTACTCCAACCATTAAATCTTATACTTCCTATAATTAGACTAGTTTGTAGAACTTAAAGACACTTGAGCAGAGGACAATTTACATTTATCAAAGCTAGAGATGTGAATTACTACTCTTCCTCTCCTACTTCTTTAACCAGTGGTTTTGGGTGTGGTGTTTACCTAAGTGATGGATTTTCACAAAGTACTATATGCTTCCTGTTATGTGAAACAAATGTTGGAAGGATTTCAGCATGCAATGCCACAGATATTCAAAAGTGGTACTGCTAGGAAAAAACACATGCTCTGCATATACAACCAGAGAGGAGGACACATATCAGCAAAAAAGTGATGCATTTTTCATGCCTTAAGCAATCTTAAATCTAAACAACATAAGAAAATTTTATATTTTGAATGATTTTATTCCAATCAAAATACAAGCATTTGAAAATGTACAAAAATAAAAAAAGGACATTTTCTACATCTTAATAAAGCAGATCAAATTTACTTCTCTATATACAATCCTTTCTGTGGGAAATTCTGATCAGCAGACTTTTTTCTGTTCTCTTCAGAGCATTCTATGCCAAATCCCCTTCCCCAAAATTAAGCCACACTTAAGACTACAAGCAACATTTCAAAAACCTAACACACCAGGTGTCCCTGAACAGATGACAAAGAAACTGTTTCTCACAGGTAATAAACCTGTAGGTGATAATATATTTCTCTAAGGACTTCAAAACAAATTGTATCCTGCTGTGTAGTCTGCAACTCAAACTTTCTGTAGTTTGTTGATACATAACTTGGACAACATAGTTGGACTACATTTTTCTTTTTTAAGCTATTTTTACAAGTTCAAAGAAACAATTATAGCTTTGTTGATAGCATTCTTCCTCCCTCCTTCCCCCAAAGTTTTTACTCTTCAAAGAAAAATGTATCTGCAAAAAATGAAGTAGAAGAGCTCTGAACCCCAAATAATTGTTTTTTGCATCATCTGCCAACATAATAGAGACTGAAATGACCATCTGCTCAAAACCACATTGTACTAATGAACACAGAGGAAACATTATCACAAGAACACTGTTTTGAACCACTCTATAATGTGCATCTGAATATTTTTGGCATGAAGTTTTATTCAGTAATATTGATCAGCTTATCTCAAGCCGTGTAGTTCATCTCAATGCTCTGTCATTCCATCTACTTTACACTGTTGTTTTCTTGTTCTGACAGTTGATGTTTTTTGGAGCTGCAGTAATATAAGGATTGGTGAGGCAATGCTTGTGGAAAGAGGTAGCTGCTTAAACTGACATTATGGAAGAACATATTTGGGGGGGGCACAAGTCCTTCTTTAGGTCTCAAATACAGCAGGAAGCTTTAAAGTTGAGAACAGTTGCTCAATTTACATGAATGTGCTCAGTTCCTAAGAGAAAAGCAAGGTGACGGGGGTTCAAAGATTAGCTCCCAAGAAACAGGTTCTCTCCAACCTTTTTCTTTCCCATTCAACTTCATCCACATCATATAACAGAAAGCTGCTGAGCAAGAGAACAGCTAATGTCTACTTGTACAGAGTCCAGAACACAGGCATCAAAGCCATAATCTTCTACCTGCTACCTGTAACAAGCTGTAACAAGCTAGAAACATTTAATTTACTAGGTCCTATTGTGGATTGGGATCTCATTAACTTTTACTATATGGAGATGAACACAGGTTGAACACAGGTTTAGTAACAGCCTCCTGCCTGCAGCACACTTAACTATGCTAGCTTTCCATTCTAGTGCTTCTTCAGCTTTGACTCCTGCCTCTAAAAAATGAAAATATCTGCAAGAGAAACACACTAATATCACAGAGTTCATCATGTTAAATTCTATACAACACCTAGTTCAGTATGACACAGCCATTCTTCTCAACATTTCTCATCAGGTCATCTGACCAAAAATCATTATTCTGTACTTAGGTATGTACTTACAGAATACATGTAAGTCATTTAAGTTTCTCCAGCGAATTCTAGTCACTGACTTATTTCCTGCTGTCTTAAAAAGTATTTTAAGACTGTCCTGTGAGCTCACTTCAGCACTAACATATTATGTACTTTTTTTTCACTTGTTAAATATTTATTTTTTAGTCCACAGGAAAACTTTTTTTTCCAGAAAGATCCTGAGCACATTTTTTAACCATTACTCCACACTCTCAAAATTTCATGTAGAATCCTGTTAGCACTGGTAACTTCAGGACATTCTTCAGTTACTTGACACTACTGGTTAAGATTAAAGGACAGCACTGAAAACTACCTTAAGTTGACTGAAGCTTTTCTTTTCTTGCTAAGACATAAGAACACATCACAGGCAGATTTATTGTGAACTGAGAAGAAACCAAAGAATGTAAAATGTATTTATTACCAAGCAAGACAAACTCTACAATATTTACCATAGGAGTCATACTTGGATCAACAGCTGAACAGCAATTTGTAGGTAAGATGCAGCTACACATAAGATGTTTGCAGAAAGTTCTGTCAGTCTAGTCATCTACTTCCTGCAACTGTTTCATATAGTCCTAACTGTAAAATCAAACTCAGAAAGTACATCAATAGGCAGGATCAATATAAAACAAGTTTTTCATGTAAGGAAACTGCTTCACTTTTAACAAGGTGGGAAGACACACAGCATCAGTATTTGAGAGGTAGTCTAGTTGCTCATTTGACTGGGAGAGGTAGAGCTAGTTGAGAAATCAATAGCTAAGGCCAGTCAAAACAGTAATTATCCCAGGATTTCTAAGATGCAAAAAAAGACATAACATCAGGCTGAAACTGCTAGTCACAAGGGATTCAGTTGTCTGCTCATATTTACTCACTTTTACATAGGTAAGGTTATTGTTAAATACCAATTCAGGGAGAGAATGCTCCCAGAAATAACCAGGGAAACAGCTTAACTACATTTTTGCATGTATCAACCAATTAATCTAGTTTATACATCTTATGACTAGGAAAGTTAATAAAGCTAAATGGCTCTCCTCTTTCGACAGGCTGATATAACTACAAAAACAAATACACAGCAAAGACTAGAGGCAAGTTAAGTCTCAAGTTCCATATGGTTTACCTATATAAAATTCTCCATGCAATTTCTTCCCACATGAAAAAACCCACCACTTATTTTAGAGAGGAAAGCCAACAAGACATATGAGTCACACAGTCAACAGGTAATAAAACCCTTGTTAAAGACATCTGGGTACAGAATCATACATAATGCTCCCTGGGATTGATGTAGACTCTTCCAGGTCCTGAGTTTTGTGGGTATCTGCTGCTCCAATTTTTGTAGTAAGTTTGATGATAAACAGGATACATAGGCTGAAGACATTGTTCTTGTGGTTCTTCAGCCTCGCAGGCAAGTTGCCTTCCATTCACAGATTTCTAAACACACACAAGAAGTAATGAGTTTCATAGTTCAGTACAGAACCTGCAATTGCTATTCTTGTTAAAGCTTTAAACAAAATAGAAGATGCATGACCTCCAAAACAGCCCTATGAATAAAGAAACATGAACTTCAAAATTCCAATCACTAACACACATGACAGAAGCATTAGTAACTATTCATTTTGTTTCAAAGGAAGGTAAGATTTCAAAGCTCAATGAATCTAAAAAACAAATCACCAACTATGAAAATGTCTGTCAGCACTCCTGTGCTTTGCTATTTCACCCGGCAAACAAAACAAAGCTGTAGTGTTCAAGCATTTAAATTAGTCAGCAAAACTACTGCAGGATATTAAAATGGTATCATCACTTTCCACTTCATGCATAGCAAACCCACATATCCAACAGTTATTGACTAGGATGGACAAAAGTTTTTTTGTTTATGAAAAACATCTTTATAAGCTCATCTTAAGGAACAAGATAAATCTTCAATCAGGAATTCAAGCCATCTTATTATTTACCATGTGCTGCAAGTTTCCAGCATCTTTCTCTCTGTACTGGCTTTGCAAAGCAAAATGTTCTTTCTGAAAGAAGAAAAGTTAGAGTAGAAACAAGTCAAGATTCAACACTGCAGAACAGGCTTGGTTTATACAAAAATGCTAGTCATCACTAAATGTACTCTGCCTTGGAAGTGTCTTAACTGACTACCATTTAGAATCCTTCTTACAAACCAGTGGCTGGTGGGGAAAAAAAAAAGAAGCTATTGTCATTTTCAGAAATATTATTAACAAATTTAATGTTGACCTTTTTTCTTTTATCTATTTAAGCATAAGCATGTTTGAGAAAGCTTTATGCTAGCATAGCATTGATTTTAGATTAGCCACAGGATAAAAATAAACTGAAATCCAAAATCAGCTATACAGTTTTCACAAGCATCATATGGATAAATGCTGAGCTTGATATTGCACAGAAGTGTTTGCCTGAAAAGGGATTTACTTACTGAGAGGAGAAGGGAGTACGTTTGCTTCTTAATTTTATAAAATTTAACAAAGTACTTCTGAATGAAAAAATAAAAACTTCTAATGAAACCACCAAGACAAAGAAAATGCTTTTCAATACATGTAAGCTCATTTCATCTCCTTATTAATTAAAACAGCACAGATACACTTACAACTTCTCTACTCAGGTTTGCTTTGCTATCTGATTTTCCAACTGACAGTCCACACTGCCCAGATATTTACCACTGACTAAGGCCTAAAACCTGTTTCTCAAAATATTCCCATAGGTCTAGGAATCCTGGTAGCTATGTACATCAAGAACTAACTTGCATTTTATTCACAGGACAGAAACTAATAGCAAACAAAATCCCCCCAAACACATATTCTATGAACACCCTACACCTCAAAGTCAACTGTAGGCTCCTTCTCCTGTTCAGCATGGTCTACTAATAAAAACATAGTCATATACAGCACCAAGTTCTTCTGTAACGCAAATAAAATGCATTGCTTGATTCATTACGCCCAGTAGTCCCCTGGAACACTAGCAATGCTAGAATAGGCAAAACCTTAACTCACCGTTCAGTTGGGTCCTGCTACCCGATTCCCTCTCCCACTTAGAAAAGTAGTTTTAGTCAGTTTATTCTGCAGTTATTTGCCCTTTGTTGGTTCCCAAAGAACAGTCTCGTCACCAAGATCAGTAACAATACATGGTTAACATGCACATATAGAAGTAACGTTTCTTGGATGTTGGAATGGAAGAACGCAAGCTCTTTAGGAAGGCCAGCCAGGGAAAATAAGGAGGAGGGTGTCACCCTCTAGGTTGGTGACCAGCTGGAATGCATGGGGTTCCACCTGGGGTTGGATGAAGAGCCAACTGAAAGCTTACAGGTCAGGAATAAAGGGAGGGCAGGGACTGGTGACATTATAGTGAGAATCTGCTACAGGCTGCCTGACCAGGAAGATCAGTGGGAGGAGGCCCTCTATTGATATCCATCTATAGATAGGAATGGTCTCATATTCACAAGCTCTCGTCCTCATGGGGGACTTCAACAACCTGGATATCTGTTGGAAGGACAACACAGCAGGGCATAAACAATTCGAGACTCCTGGAATGCACTGAGGAAAACATCCTTCTTCAAGAGTTCCATAAACCCACTGTTTTACTCTAAACATGCTCCTTCTCAAACAGTCCTTTAAAACCCCAGCCAATTATTTCACCACCAACTTCTTATATTTTCTGATACTTTCCGATTTAGAAATCCCATTACAAAAGCATCCACTAAAAAAAACTCTTGTGCCTCATTCAAACCTCTTTATGGTTAATATTTTTTCGGTTTTCTTTTTCCACTATTGCAAGATCCTTCATCAATACAGATGAATTGTGCAGGTTTGGGCTGAAGTGGAGTTAACTTTCTTCGCAGTGGCTAGTATGGGGCTATGTTTAGGATTTGTGCAGAGCACAGGGATAATACAGAGATGTTTTTGTTATTGAGAAGTGCTTACACAGAGCCAAAGCATTTTCTGCTTTCCGTACTGCCACGCTGGCAAGGAAGTTTGGGGTGCATAGGAGGTTGGGAGGAGACACAGCTGGGACAGGTGACCCAAACTGACCAAAGGAATATTCCACACCATATGACATCATGTTCAGTATATAAGGTGGGAGGAAGAAGGAGGAAGGGGGGACATCTGAAGTGATGGTGTTTGTCTTCCCAAGGAACCGTTACACGTGATGGGCCCTGCTCTCCTGGAGATGGCTGAACACCTCCTGACTGTGGGAAGCAGTGAATGAATTCTTTGTTTTGCTTTGCTTGTGTGTGTGGCTTTTGTTTTTCTCTATTAACTGTCTTCATCTCAACTTATAAGTTTTTCTAGCTTTTAACCTTCCAATTCTCTCCCCCACCCCATTGCTGGGGGGAGTGTGTAAGCGGCTGCATGGTTCTTGGTTGCTAGCTGGGGTTAAACCACGACATGAATTTATCTATGCACAATTTGTGTTTTCTTCCGTTCAATCTTATTTGCCTAAACAGTTCTTCAGTCTAAGGCAAATGATAACAATAGCGGTTCCTTTTCTGTATGAAGAGCATTAGGAAAAGAGGTAGAAGAGTGCAAGAGAGCCATAATCTATAAATGAATCAATATTACGCTAGGTTTAAGAGTACTGTGGGCAATGTTTTCAAATTTGATTCAGAAATATCATTTGGTAAATGGTGTTTATGCTTTTAACTGTGTTAATACAAATTCATCATTTTCTTTCATGTTTTGATTAGGAATACAAATATTACTGTTAAAGAGCTTTAGCATTTTTCAGGTTTCCTTGGCTAAATAAGTGAGGTACTCCAAGTTACAAGTGTAAAGTCAGTCTTCTCATGGCCAGAACTACCTACGGGGCTGTATTTCCCTTCATCCACTTTTATTTCTATTGCTACAGAAGAGCTCTATTAAATTCTGAATCTTTCAAGAACTCTGAATGTTGCATTGCATTATGCAAAGCAACATTTTTTCCTCTTTCCTTCAGAAGCACTTGTCAAGCTAGCAATAACTTCAGTTCTTTCACCTTGTCAAAGACTGCTCATCTCAGTCATGTTTCAAGGCAAATAAAGAAATCTTCCTTCTTCACAATATATTCTTTGAAATAGTGAAGCTAACTCTAATGCTTTCAAGGATTGCCTGAATGAGTGCACCCTCTCCCACTCTTTTTTAAAACATTATGCAACAGAAAAATTCCTCTTTAAGCCACTGGAATTCTTCCATTGCTTAACTTCCTCTTGATTTGCCTCAAAAACTCAGTTGCCAAGCAAAGATCCCTCTCTCACCAAAGATGTAACCTTCAGGCTGCTCATTGCTCTTTCATGTTACATGCAACAAGTAGTTCTGAGTAACAGAACTGTATTTCCATTACAACGATCATCAAAAGAACACCCAGACAAAACTAATAGCTTTGTTGCTAAAAAAGTTGACAAAGATGAACCTAGTCTTCACAGTAAATAAAACTATTTATAATGTCATTTTTTCCTTTATTCCACCTAACATTCCTAAGCTTTGGACTTCTGTCTCACTCCTTTAGGGTGATAAGTGAACCTTCTCAATTCTTATGTGATTCACATGAACACATGAATTGTTATCTGCAAATACCACCATAGAGAAATTATGAGTACTCAGTTACATAGTACTTTTACATACATGTAGCTGATTATTAACACTAGCATGTAAATGATGGTGTATATTTGTAAAGCTTCCAAGTCTGAACATGAAAGACACTGGCTATCCTGTATTACCACATGTCTACAACATCCCCCCTGATTTCAATACCATCACCCATCGACTCAGATATTCATAAAATCTAGTTAAATACTGACTGCTGGGATGCAAACAGAATTTCAGCATATTCAGTTGCATCTAAAATACAAGACGCAAGAAAAGTTACTGTGCATGATTTGCACAAAAACAGTACTGATAGCTAAAATATTTTCCTTTATGTATGCAAACTTTCCACAATCAGCTTAAATTGGATCAATCCGCTCTCAATCCCTAGCTATTGTGAGTTTGTGTGCAGAAGACACCATTTGAGTTCATTCTCCTTTAACTTTACTTTGCACTTTTGTGCAGCTTTTTTCCAAGCAGACTGAATTGATCATCTATTGCTGTTGACAATGCAGGGACACTCTCCCTACAGCTGTTCTCTTTGCAGCTAGAAGCTTACACCTGGACTGCCCAGTGAGAGGCTCACCAGCATGCTTCTCATTTATGGCAGACAAAGCAGCTACCAGTACTGGTAAGTACAGTAGAGTAAGTGGTTAGTACAGACATTTCATCACACAGGACAAGCTATCATGACAGGCTGCTAACTTGCTTCTTTTACCTCTTTACAGCTATCAAACCGTTGGCCTGTTACAACAAAACAACACAACTAATCACTTCCTGGCTAATGCCAGTGCTTTGACATTTCTGTTAGATAAAGCAGAAGTTCTTGCCTCAATCATAATGGAGCACGTGCTGATTATAGGTAGTATCAGCTAGTAAGATTCAGCCTCCAGCTCTAGTTCTCTTCAGGTTTGGAGTTCCACAGAGAGAAAAAGACAGGTACATCGCCAGCACTATGTCAACATACATTATTTTTAAATAAAGCATAGTTAACATCTAGCCTGAAGAACTAGATGATCTCCCTCTCCCAAAACAATTTAAAATCGTATTTATCCATCTTGAGGAAAATGAATATTCAATTCAGTCTGTCTAGGGTATTTTCTCTATTTACAAAATACATTTGCATAAAGCATTTTATTAAACATTCCAAAACGACAGTCAGCTTCAGCCTTCCTTACTTCTTAAGTACTCACTAACAGAAGCCACAGTAAGCACAACCAAGCAAGAATTCAAAGACTGAAGTTCTGAAGAGGAAAACAACAAGGTACACCCTTTATGAGCAGCCCTGTAAAAGATAAATAATTACATTTCCCATTGTCATTTTGTCATCTAGTAGCACTACAGACAGATGCACAAACAACACAATAGTCCATATCTTTTGATTCTCTAAGCAACATAATCTTTTTCCAAATACTTAAAGCACAGGAGTGTATTAGCAGAAGCATGATTCATCAAAAATTGCATTTGTTGAGTACTATAGTGACAGAAGAAATTGCTATTACGCAGTTTGCACAAGATGCCCAACCTGAGCACAGAAAAACATTGCTTCTTTTGTGTCACCCTAGGTGCCAGGTGTCGAGTACTATAGTGACAGAAGAAATTGCTATTATGCAGTTTGCACAAGATGCCCAACCTGAGCACAGAAAAACATTGCTTCTTTTGTGTCACCCTAGGTGCTATACCACCTTCAAGGTAAGATGACAAAAACCTATTATGCTTTATGACCACATAGTATTTTCTACCTTCACAGTGTTAAGTAGTAAGGGATCTCAGAAGAGTTTCTTGCTTCACTCAGCAGCCATATACACAAGTATTACTCAATGCAATATTTGCAATATACAGTATTGTTTTCATGTACTCCTTTCATGAGGAAGAGGAAAGCTCTTATCAGCAACTGATATTTATTGAGCTCCAGTAACCAGAAATCACATTAAGAAAATCTGTGAGAATATTTTCAATGTTACTAAGTACTAGAAAAATCCATCTTGAAGACTGATGAAGACTTTTTTCCCCTAGAGCATCTCTCTCTCTCAGAAGAAAAAAAAAAAAAAAAAAAACACAACCCAAAAAACCCCAGTTTCAATGGGTCCTTAAAGCTGCAAAGATACACTAGAGGACTGGAAAAACAATATTTGTTATAAACAAACAAATGGTTGTCAGGACTAGCTCAGTCTTATAATTCAGCACATCAGTGGTTAGAATCACATTATTTACAAGAAGTACAGAAGATGGAACAGAAAGCCCTTGAAAAACAATTACAATCTAATTCTCACAAGTACTGATAGGTGATGGAAGTTTTCTTTAGTGTAAGCAGAAGTCTACAAATCAGACTGACTTAATATACACAAAAAAATAAATCACACTTTAGAGGCTATGGTCAGGATCTACAGTTTTCATGAACAGACTGGTTTGTGAGTAATAATCAATGATATTAGCTGAAACCATCTCCCATGAACAGCTCTATGCTCTATGTTCTCTTTTAAGCTGCCTAGTGCAAAAGAAGCTTTCTGAATGCACCTGGAGTTTAACAAGCAGTCCAATCATGCTGCAACAAAGAAGGACAGTCCTATCCTTCTCTGTCTCTCCCTATCCTTACTTTTACCCCACCTCATTTGCTAGAATTAGCTTTCCACCACATCACCTCTATGATCCTGTTGTATCAGACTACATCCACACAAACACTAAATGCTGGTGATTGCCTACTGCTGTCTTGTTTGGACAGCATTAGTTTAGATGATCCATGCAAGTACACTAGAAATTCAAGTACTTGTCACAGAATTAGTGCAGGTTCTTTTGTTGCTGATAAAGTGCAAGAAAAAGTGCTGATAAGAAAAAAAGAGATAAAATTGGAAATTACATAACTGCAAGCACTTAAAAGGCATGTAAAAGTGATTTAGTGATCTTGACTGGGAATCAAACACATAATTTGATAAATTAGCCATGACAAAGCCCAAACTCCAATATATCCTCACCACTCAAACCATAATAGCTTAAAAGAATGGCAGTTGTTACAAGCCAGGAAGGTGATGCTCAAGTCACCTTTCAAGTTTACCAAGTGCATTTCTCCCTCGTATGAAGACTGTTCTATAAAGCTATGTATATTGTCTTAATCACCACACAAATTCAGCTGTAGTTTTTTCTCCTTAAAAAGGAGTTGAATCTGTCAAACACTGTTAGAGATACAAAAAGGATCTGTCTACCAGTTTTCTGACCTTCAAGGATGACTTTAACACCAAGGATAAGAGATTCAGATCTCACACATGCAGGGAAACAGCTTGGATGTGAATCAACAATCAGAAGTGTCCATACATTACCAGGAAAGCAAAACGATTAAATGAACATAATAAAGGAATGTTAACACTTTTCGTACCTCAGCTTAAGATGTCTATAAGCACTCACTCACCTGAAGCATAGCTTCTTTCTGTGGGACTGAGAATGCTCTCTCCTCACATGAGGATGGTTTGTGAGTGGGTGGAAGATCAATCCTGTGGTAAACAATGATTGAAATATGACATGTCACATTCGTTAAGATCATTTGAATGGTCAGACATTATTTACTTTAGCTGCCAAATCACCTGACACTCAACATTCAGAGACACATCCCTTGCAGTCAGCAACGACATATATACGACATGCACATCCATCACTGGCAATAATTCAGCCACAAACTTTTTGTAGGAAACCACCATCTGTAATTTGTTCTTTATTCTATAAGGTGTGAGGTAGACTGAACTTCCCCCCATACACTCCAATGAAGTAGGATTAGGAACTACTGGTATCTATCATAGTTTCTAGGTTGAGATACAGCTTGAGCAACATTTACTTCTGTAAAAAGCCTTTGGGAAAGCCTTACTATCAATTACTACTACATGCAAGAATTTTCTATCATAACTTTCTCAGCAAAAGCAAATTGTTATAAAAAAACCTAAAATGTTTAAGACTATTCATGTAACAGTATTTCTAACCATGTTAGAAATTATTCAGAAGAAAACACTTGACTCATTTTGCTAGCTCGATGCAAATGAGGAAGCTTATTTTATGCTAAGTTATCTTACTCTACTCCTCATTAAGTATATGTACAGACATGACAGACATTTTCATTTCTCATTCAGTTTGAGTGTTAACTGTATACAGCATGTGTGAAAAGACTTGTATTTACAGATATTTAAAGCCATTGTCACTTTTTATGCATGTTCCAAACAGGGTCTAGACATCACCCACTTTAACTGACAAATATATTTTCAGACTTTTTTTTTTGTTTCTTTTTTGTTGGACCATATTGGATGTTTAAAAACGTAAATCACATGTCTGCACCAGAGACTTGAAGAAACAACCAACATTCCAGAAAGTGCATTCAGTCATTTCTAGCACATGTCCATGGGTTCTTGTTTCATTTTAAACACGTATCAGGATAAATCTTAGCAGGCCTCCACTTCTGCAATGTATCATCAATTTGCTTTGCAGTTAGACCCACAGTTACAACAAAGTAATAGTCTGTGGCACCAGTCAAGAGGGAACTCTCCTCTGCCCTCCAATTAAATCCATGAGCAATTTTCTTTCAGAACAAGACTTGTGAAGAGATAAAGCATTATATTACATCTGAGCTCATTCTTACTTTCTTCATTTCTTTTTCAGAAATGCAAGTGATTTCACATTTATCTACTCTGAAAACACAACCCGAAAATTATGAAAGCTGAATAGCTGCTAAATTAACTCAGACATTTAAATTCCTGCATAGAACAAATTCTATCTGCATATTGCTTTCAATTAAATAAACAAACAAATAAATACATAATCCAACACATACTCACACTTTGTCAAGATAGGATGGCCTTTTTTTCCTTGGGGTCAGCAGCACTGTCACAAAGATGGTAATGATAAAAAGAGCAAGGACTGCTCCAATCACAGCCCCTGCTACAGCAACAGAAGATGTCTGCTTAAATGGCACATCTGCAATGTGATAGCATAGATTACACCTTTAAGAAGTTCACATACTTTCAATACCCAGATAAGCTACTTGAACGCTGTTCTGAGAAATGCTTCTTCCTTCTACCACCAAACAGAATGACTTGTTCTGCACTACCACTCTTGTGGTATCAGCTCCACAATTAAAAAAGATTGCCAATCAAAAAACCAGGTTGAATTAAGACAGTTCATGCAATCATAACCCAGTTTCAAAAATTTAATTGATTACTTTTAATAAATACTAGCTGCATGCTTTTGATTTCAAGGCAAGATGATGTTACAAAACACGTGCTTTGCACTTGCATGAACTAAGAAGGTGTTAAACTCAAAACCCCCAGACAACTATGGCTTAATTGGCAGTCTTTCTTTAAAGACACTGAAGTCTGCAGAGGAAAAGTCAGCAAAAAGGAAAACTTAAAATCAGAGGAAAAAAAGATATACTACTAGGAGCAACAAACATGCAAACTCACTAAATACTTAGCTTACACCTATCTTCTCTAGGACTTCACACTTCAAGCTACAAGAAAGCAATTTTTGTAAATAAATTTTAATGAGGGAGGAGAAAAAGCTGTGCTTTTATTTTCTTTTAAAGCACTTTTCCTTTGACCTCAGCATTGTCAAATCCAATGCTTAACAACTCTCATACTGAATTAACACACTTGTCAATCTTTAAAGGTCACCCGTTTCACTATGAAGACTTCAATGAGTTTTAAGTCTCAAAACTGAAAACCTGCTAGCATACGTTGACTTAAAATCATCAATCTCAGTGTTTCAAGCTTGCACCAATAGGCTCAACAAAAAGTTGCACAATTGGAACGCAGCACATTAGCTGCACTAAAACTCTTACCTGTAAAATACTGGTAGCATACATTAAATAACACCTTGATCTACATTGATTACTGGATCAGAAAGGTAACAGCAAAGTAGACAATTAAGACAGTTCCATACTGGTGACATATTTTTGCAGTAGTCTACTTCAGCTATTTTCCAAACACAACACACAACCATCCTCTATTTAAGCTCTTACCAGAGGAAATTTTGAGTCTTTCCAGCTATATGTTCTATTCACAGGTCAAACCCCCAAAACCTTGGAACGTGTTTTATCAATTACTCATAATTCTAACGTTGTTCTGCCTGTATGCTGGAAAGCTGGACAAAATAAACCCTCATTTAAAACCAAACAAAACAAACCACTTAACTTGCAATCTAATAAAGGGTTTCTTGTCCTCTCACTGCATATGAAAGACCTGACAGGAATTCGCCCCTGGGAATCACACTTATGAAGGTATGGTTAAGTAGCTTGAATAAAACTGAAATAAGCTTCTTAGTTTGGTCACTTCCTAAAAGTTCAGGAATAAAGTCATAGAGTAACAACTGGCAGAAACTAATTGATTCCACAAGATTAATGCAATGTGCCACCTTCAGTGATCATTCTAGTTTACATAATGGCTTTCTTGGCATAGGCTCCATTTGTCTGTCATGCAAAAACTGCCTCAGTTTCAGCTGGGATAGAGTCACTTTCTTCTCAGTAGCAGGTACAGTACTGATTTTGGATTCAGCATGAGAACAACGTTGATAATACACTGATGTTGTGGCTTCTGCTACATTATATTTATCCTAATTCAAGGACTTAGCTTTTTGTGTCCCATGCTCTGCCAGTGAGGATGTGCACAAAAACTGGGATCATAGCTAGGACAGGTGACTGAAACTGGCAGAAGGGATATTCCACACCATAGAACAACATGCCCTGCATATAAACTGGGAAAGTTACCCAAAAAGGGGGGCCAATATGAGTTCAGGGAGGGTGTCTGGCATCAGTTTTTCCACTTTTTATCATTATTAACCATTATTATTCTATTTTACTTTGTTTGCAGTTATTAAATTGCCCTTATCTCACCCTGCAAGTTTTATTTTTGACTCCACAGCCCCTTCCACAAGGGTTGGGGGAGAAAGCAAGCAGTAGCACGGTGCTTAGTTGCCAGCTGGGCTTAAACCACAATAGAAACATAATTCTTCATTTCTTCTGAAAAAGTGGGCACATAAATCAGTGAAAAACTCACCCCACTACTGCATTTTACTTGGCTTAAGTTAAGTTTACACTGGATGCCATCTTCTTTAAGCGAAAAACTAATACACACTGCTAGGTCCAAAATTGCTGAAGATGCTGTGGTCTTGTGATTACACCAGAAAACATTTCTTGACTGTTTCATACTAATTCAGAGTATTGTTTTTCTGCTAAATTCTCCTACCATGTTCAAACATCAGAAAGTATTCTACTTTCAAAGCTCAGCATTGAATCCCATTTTGGGTGAGAAGACAATAACCACCTATTTTTGCTTCTGAAGAGCAGGAAAAATAGTGATATCCCAGCAAGTGCAGCAACACACAGGAGCTGAAGCACGATTAGCACAGGGCAGACGTGACTTACTTTTTTGAATTGCTTTGGCAAAAAAAGTAAGCACAAGAGGAATGATCAGAAACCAAGACCACCATGCCAAGCTGAACAAGTCAGAGAGACCCAAGATGTATGGTGCCAACCACACAGCATTTTAACCACCAGCTGGTCAGAAATAGATGGGAATTGATTCACTCCCGGAAATATGGTTAGAGCAGAGCTACCGTAACCAAAACCAAAAGAATGAAAAAACAAGGCTTTTTCTTTTTAAGAATGCAATTCCTAAACAGTGTGTCAACTGTGGTTAAAATGAAACTGTTTGGACAGCAATTGTCCCTATTTATCATTCTCTTATCTTCTTAAAATAGTTTCTGAACACACTTGTTTTATAAGCCTAGGGTCTCCAAGGGGATATGCTAAACAGCCCATCTTAAACAGCATAAATATTTTAGTCCGTTCTACCCAGCCTCTGGGTTTATTCTGCTTTTGCATCTCCAATTTTAAGAACATACCTGTGAAACATTTTTGAACACTACCTATATTCCAGAATGTAACAAAAAGTTTATTCACACAACAGCCATTTGTACTTACAATCAATTCTTTTTACAGCAGACATAATGTACAAAACATTGCAACACGCGTAAGCCCTATCCCTATTATCAGCTTCAACTCCAGAACATTTCAACCTCTTAACCCACAGGAATTAAATATATATATATTTTTCAAAAATCGAAGCAAAAAATCCACAGGGACAAAAGCAAGATATCCCATGTGGAGAACTGGTTTATGGTTATGTTTATTTCCAAGTAACACCATCTTTTAAAGATGATATATCAAGTATTTTTTTATTTGAAGAGAGGTATAATCTCTTTATTCCAGAAATAATTTGGATCAGAACCTTCTGCTAGAAATTTAACTCCTTTCCTTGCGTTTGCACTCGAACTACAGATAACCACATCACTTGCTATTGTTCTTGAGACTTTGGTCGATCATGTATCAGCACTTCATTAATCCAAACACAAACTTAAGATGTTTAGGGATGCTTTTCCATTTGAATTTCAAATAAAGCTGTTGTCTTAAGCTTTTTTAAAGACATGCAGTCATATGCAATCACAGTGTATTGTCTACAATGCTCAATACAACTATTTTCATGATGCTCTAAATGCTGTAAGCTACCAAACATCATGAGGATAGAAAAGAACTTCCAGCATGAATGCTCATGAAGCAGCTGTAATTATGCAGCCTATTTCACGTCAAAGGTAGCAGAGACTTTTCCCTTGTCAGGTTTCAAATACTAATAGCCTTATCAGATTCAACTTCCTCAAGCTAAACACTTATAAATGGCACTTCAAAATATCTACTATTCTAATTATGAATTTATCATTGTTCTGCAATTCATCTAAAGTTATTCATTCTTTCCTACATATTCAGCAGAATTAGCCTGGTGAATCTGCTCAAGACAAAGTAGAACTACTTCAGGTGTCAAACAAGATGTCCTACATATAATGGATACAATGCCATTTTAAAGAACAAGAACATGTTGTTAAATCAGCATTAAATATTTGCAGGGAGAATAAATCCACTGCGGTACAGAGACTGCACAAATCATCTGAATTCCAGTTTCATATATTCTGTAGTTGCACCATTGGAGATTGTGTTTTCAATATATGAAGTAGCAGTGCAAGTGTCCATTTCCCTACTAATGGTCTGAAACTCTAGTTACCCTCTTCAAAGCAAGAACGATCACTTATTCGGAAGCAGCGTAAAACCGCTGGTTTAACTTCCGGTCATACACACTCTAGCAAATGCTTTCATGTTTGTTGGCACCTGGGAAAGTAAGTGAATTCACATTAGCCTCCAGCTTTGGAATTCATATTAGTGTTTTCTCCTTAGCTCTGCTCAATTCTTCAGCTTTCAAACTGAATGGTAAGATTCCCACAAAGCCACTGAAACAGGTCTCTAAAATTGCACCCTGTGTACTTGCAAAAAGCATCTGGTAAGTGTTAATGAGTTTTGACATCCTGCCAATTACAGGCCTAACAAAATACCTTACTGTATGTATATATACAGACACTAGAATAAGCTTTAGAAATCAATGACTATAAAAAAATAACTTTTCATCTTATCCAAAGACAAGCCTTTGACCTGTTTACAGTTACTCCTCAAAATTTTGTTCTTAAGTTAGTTTCAGTGCAATGACTTCTTTTAAGCATATAGTTACAAGAAGGCTCATTAAAATGCTAAGAGGTATTCATTTTTGTGCAGAAAAAACCCTAAAAAATAAAGCTTTAATTCTGCTGTAACTCATTTTAATTGGTAAAGTATTTGCTCTGTAGAAGCATTAAGTTTACCATGGATGGTACCTAGATGGGAGTAATTCAAAGCCCCAAAAGATTATATTTGATCATTGCCTTAGGTAAACTTAGTTTTAAATCAGAGAGCCAAGACAGCCACTTTTTATTCTTAAACAATATTGACTGGCAACTTTAATTTAGCCTTTTTTTTACCTCTGACATAGACCAATATAAGCACTCTGCATTAGAACTCAACTCTTAAACAGTAGTACAGCATTGGGAAAAAAAGCAGCTCAAATACATTTTCCCCAGATTCAGTATTTCCATTGTGTCAAGTCACAATATAAAAACCTTCAAAAAAAAAAATCAGTTTCAAAGAGTTTATTCCTCCGATTGTGTAAGTATAAACAATCTGAAAGTGATCAGCCTATGAAACGGACTGTAGGTACACGTTTAGTTTTCAGTGGTCACTACACATACCACTCCCTCCGAGATATTACCGAGCCATCTACGTGAGAAACAAAGTCTTCTTCATCATCATCGTAACAATCACCACCCATGTAATTCATTCCCAGTGTTCCACCTTCATAGTAATCCATCGGTCTTTCATAACGTTCCTGGTACCTGTTAATATTGTCTATATTGTTCCACTCAGGTTTTTCAGGGTCTTCTAAATAATCTTTAGATATTAAGCTGTTCATTGGATGCTTAATTTCTTTTTTTATACTGTCAGGGTAAGAATCCACATCATCTGACTGAAGAACATCTATTTGAGACTCTTTTTGCATATCTGACGGTGGAATGTAGTTCTTAGCAAAGTAGTCACCACGGAAGGTCTGTCTTCTCCTATAGCAGAGAATTCCAACCAGAATACCAAGAAGTGCAAATAAAAGAGCCCCACCCACCAAACTACCGATGATGGTACCCCAAGTGTCTTCCTGCATTGCTGGCAAGCTTGATGTTGGGAAATCTATTATTCTATGTTCTGTTGCTAAACCTGTGATGCCATCAGTCGAAGGATGCCAGGGAACCGTGGGCAGTCGAGTGGTAGTAGTAGGAGGATCTAATGGAAAGAGCAAAGAAGTAGACAAGACACAGAAAAGGCACAGAATGTCAATGCAAGCTAAATCAGTTAAGGGTTTATAAGAAAGCAAAGTTGATGGGTATGTTCTACAAGAATAGTTTTTCATTCTCAAGTTCATGGCACTTCAAAAAGTCCTACATTTTCCACAGGCTTTGAACTAGGTTCATTACATGTGGTTTTGAGCTATGCTGCAGCAGGATGAAGTAAGGGAAGTAGCCACAATAAAAATAATCTTCAAGGAAACATTTTGCCCTCCTCAAAGTAAGGAGATGCAGCATTTCTGCTCAGGTGTTGACTGTTCATCATTTACCTCCTCCATAGAGGAAAAACCCAAGCAGTCCTTTAACTTTCCATTCAGCAGCTAGGAATACTGGATCAAATTAATTGATTATGCCACAGAGACAATTATTCCACATTAAATTTGCACTCCAAAATTTGTTCAGGACACTGAGTATAAGAATGAAAAACTATGAGTTGTGTTCTCAGTCAGCAGCACATGGACTACCAATTTTTAAGCTATTCTCTCCAAAAACATTTGTTTCATTAATACAACTTACTCAGCCTCACCTTGGGATTAGTGAAAGAAGCATAGTTAAAAATGGCATGTATTAATCTCAAAGTAACATGTTGAGCAAGGAGCCTCCAGGTTTTTAAAATAATAAAAAAATGGAACATTTGAAGTAAAAATTATTTCTATGCATTTCTCTTAAAAGCAATTTGATCCCTCATTCACAAAGAATTTCCATATTCATTTCTCAACATAAAGTATCAACTGATTTCATGTCAGGTGATGCATGTAAACAAGACACTGCTAGATACCATGCTTCTCCAGCACACAGCTTTTCCCTTTGTTCTTTAGGTCTACTGGAGATGCATCTTTATTGTAGACAAAGTTACAAGGGATGGGCTGATGAATCTGAGAATGATTATTGAGATTATACCAGTCAAACACAATGTTTTATGCAACTCCAGTTCCTATTTCTGTGCCACACTGGAAAAAAAAAAAAAAAATCACTTTTTGCCTTGCCCAATGCAAGGTTAATTGGTCTTTAAATCAGTAAAGCAACACTAAGCATGTTGTTTTAGCTTGAACCTTTTAGAGAGAATATTACTTGGACAGCCAAGTAGATCATCATATCATGTTAATTAGTTAAATGCCCATAAGCAAGATGCATGGAACTACCACTGCCACATTACAGAGGGACCCTAAATTCACCACCACAAAAAGTAAACCAGATAGAACTGGAGATCTGACAAGCTTCCAGTTACTTGACAAAACACGAATTTAAATAGTCATAAACATGATTTTTTAAATCTTACTACTCAGAGACAGACATACAATTCTCTCATACTAGACAGAATTGCCACATTTGTCAAGATCACTATAGATCTTACTTCAGGCTACATCTCACTGCTGAATGCAATACTTTAAGCTTGACATAGTAAGTAAAGTTTCACAGAGATTTTCAAAGCACATAATTATATTACTTGACTATGTAAAAGTGATGATTTGTTAGGGAACTATACATAAATGAAATTAATTTGACAGAAGACAGGAAACTGAACAAGAAAGATGCACTACCAAAGTGAACAAGAGGAATTCAGATTATGATTTTAGTAAAAACTGATTTAAAGTGAGTTTGATAATTTATCAAAGAAATAGAGAATAAGGAATCCAAGTTTACCAGGGTTCCATGTCCCACACATCCATAAGTCAATAAGTTAAACTCAAAACCCTCTTCCTTGAAAAGGTGTTTGCTTTAGACAAAAAATGTTAGCTGAAAATACAAACAGTAGCAGCAAAATCTTCTTCCAAGCGACATACACTTGGGGTTTTTTTTTGTTTTTAAACTGGGTTTTGTAATTGTTCACCTATTTCCCTCTGATACTGAGGTCCAAAGTACCATCCTCCACACCCAAAGTATGAAATACATATTCACAAGTATGTAGTATTTGCATCCTGGCAAGTTTAACCATCACATATGTGAAGTAAGCACAGTGGCAATTACACTCATATTTAAACCCCAGTGTTTCACAAAAAGCTTTTCCTTAAAACTTCTGTTTCATCCACCAATTGTCAGGCTGTATAACTGCCTTATCTACAAGCAGTAATTAACACATTAGTCTTAAATTAATTGCAAATGTAGGATCAATTAAGTACTTGCCTATCCATATTCCCTGAATACACAACCATGATACTTCTACCGTCTGTGTCAGTACCTTTTATTGTTGAAGAAGGACAAAATTAAAGTCATCCCTTCTTATTTATAAAGCCAATTACAACTAAGAACATGTGAGGTTAACTTCTAATATCACTAGAGCTTTCTAAATGTAAAACTAATTTTTTTTATTTTTTTAACTTCCTTTTACCTTTATTACTAGAGAACACAGTGTTTTCAAACTGGAACCACTTTTGATTTAGCCCACCATGAAGTACTTCAGAGGTAAGGAGACCAGCTCTATAACAGGAAAGAATTCAATACTGGCACTACATCTTTGGTTCAAATTTGTCACTTAAGCACTACAGAAACAAAGTTTTGGAAGGGAAGGTACTTTGGCTAGCTGTTGTCTATTAATATAGACAGTCATGGTCTGTCTTATTTTAAAAGCCATGATAAAGTCTAGTTCTCCCTATTTAAAAAAACAAACCACAAACCCCACAAAATTAAAGATGCAGACATCCCTTTCTTTGCCTCCTATGAGACAAGGACCTGCTATCAATTACTTATAATCCAAAAGTGAGCTGGCTTTGCACAAATTCCAATATCTCTTTTGCAGTTCTCATTTTATGGAGTGTCAAGTAACCTGCCTGTACATGTACTACATGTATGTTTACACAGAGACATATTTACCTCTGGATCTTAACCTGCTGTAATTGCTACATATCTCTTAGATGGTAAGTACTTAAACACTTGTATGTAGCTGTGTGTTATAAAAACAGCACTTTCTTTCAACTGCTTAAAAGCTTATGTAGCAACTTCTCCATGACAGGAGGGAAAGTTGTCTTACCATGCAAGAAGGCTTTCTGAATGTTGGAGATTAAGTGATTTTTAAACTTACCATTCTTTCTGCAACCATTTGCACTCTCAATTCAAGGAGCAGGTGGGGACACTGTGTAACCCTCTCCCCAGAGTATCTTGTTCCACACTGGAGTTAAGTATTTTCCTTAGGATTCTTTTCAGTGTGTCTTCCCCTTCTATTTTGGCAGTCAACAGCCAAGTACAATCTAATATGTACTTTAGAAAATAAAAGAGCACCTGTATTCACAATGCTCTCTCAGAACAGGTTAACATATGAACAAAACGAAGTTAAAACAATGACCTGTCTCTGCTAGGTTAACCCTGACAATGCCCACTGTACAACAAGGTGACCTGTACTTCTAAGTTACAACCTTCCTAGGATTGCTGGCTAACAAAGACTGGCTTTACTTTTAAGAAAATGAAGTCTTTTCCAAAGGCAGTCATGACAGAGGAAGTGTGTTCCTATCAGAATGTGAGTCTCACAGGTCGCCTCTCTTTTGCAAGTGGAGAAAGGGAAAGCCTCAGTAAGCAATACGAAGAAGGAGCAGAGAGCCAAGAAAATGAAGTTCAATTCCTTGTGTAAGAAAACTGAATAAATCAGTATTACAAGAGGAAGTGCTTTACATATCAAGCTGACAGCTTGTTTTGGAACAGCTGTTACTGTAGGACTAAGTCAGGAATTTCAACACTTGAACTCCACACAAGGAGCATGACTTGGTTTTGCTGGACAACTGTACAAAATGTTTAACTGTACATCACTGAATGACTAAAAAATAACCTAGGTATCTGTGCCTTAAAACCAATATTAAAAAAGCCTCTGGCTTCGAATACCATTTTAGTATTACTCTACCCCTATAAAGATATATCATCATCTTTAACTGCTACGCTTATTTCCCTATTCCACTTCAAGAGCACTAACACAAAGGTTAGGAGCACAACAGAATTTATTAAGAACAAGGCTTTATTTTTAACAATTACGATTACAACCAATGGTTGTTTGAGTTCTTCCTGCTCAGCTTACATTCCAATCCTACAAGAATTATAATAGCTTAACATTAACTGCTGAAAACAATAGAAGTGTTAGACCTTATGCCTGCCTCACCTCTCTCATTTTAATCAGGCCTCCTATAGACTAAAAGTTAACACACTATGCTTTTAACCAGTTTGGTATAATCTTCTCTAACGTATTGTCTCAGTATTAACTGAGACAAGCATACAGCACTCTTCTTGAAACAGATGTGTTTGACTTGCCTGAGCATTAGTTGTAATGATACAGGACCAGTTTTATTCTAAGTTGCCTAAAATTACCTGCATTTTCTTAGATGTTGATCATGCTACATGCTCCAAGATTAACATGAATTTGATTCATTTTAGGAAACACCATATATGCTTTCCTGGTTGGCCTATTTTAGTCTATTTGTTGCAAACATAATTTGAATGACAGTTTTATATTTTCATGCATGACAATCATGGTAAAAAGCATGAGTTCTACTTACAGTGGATGATAATTCACTGAACTGACAACTTGCAAAGTGGTGGATTTGAAAAAACTTCCCTCATTCCTGAGACTTAGAATATGGCTGAGAACAGAGCTATAAACTATTATTGTTATTGTTATTTTCTGCATAAATGTATTTGAATGTCACATTCCAGGCAAATATTTCACCCTACTCAATGATGATATTCTAATTTTTTGACTTGATCCTTCTTACTAACATGACAGACATTGTAATTGTTTTGAGACTGCTAAGCAGCCATGAACTCCCCATAGCAGAAGCATTAGAACCAAGCATCCAAAAATAACCTCTAAAAGAACTTTCATAATCATAGAATCATCGAGGTTGGAAGAGACCTTTAAGATCACCAAGTCCAACTGTTAAATTGTCACTCCACTTGTAACCCCTTAATCCACACCTTCCAGATCCAGACACCTCAAACACTTCCAGTGATGGTGATTCCACCTATTCCTATTCCAGTGTCTGACCACCATAACAGGGAAAATTTTTTTCTAATATCTAATCTGAAACTTCCTCATCTCATCTTATGACCCTAATAATAGTGATACTAATTGGCAGCACTTAAGTCTCTTAAATTATAAAAAATTCTAGCTATAAAGTTGCTTCCCAGTAATTTCACTGTCCCAAACTATTTAGAAGTCTCCAGATAACTAGCTCATTAACTAGTCAATTGATTAAAAATTACTAGCTTTCCACAGTGACCCCACAGTGTAGTCATATCTGACTGAAACACTACCATTTGCTCTAAAGATGCAGATAACTAGCAAAAATGAATTTTGGCAGATGTGGCTTCAGACATCCTATACCTTAAGTTGTAGTCTTAAGTTCTCATTCTCTTCTCAACCTTTAAGTGCTAACATCGAGTTTGAAGTTCTTACAAAGAAGTTACCTATATTTCTATCCTCTTTACTGGCCAACATGGACTCTGACACTTACCATTTGCTCTAAAGATGCAGATAACTAGCAAAAATGAATTTTGGCAGATGTGGCTTCAGACATCCTATACCTTAAGTTGTAGTCTTAAGTTCTCATTCTCTTCTCAACCTTTAAGTGCTAACATCGAGTTTGAAGTTCTTACAAAGAAGTTACCTATATTTCTATCCTCTTTACTGGCCAACATGGACTCTGACACTTAATTCCCTTGATGACTAAGGGAATAAAGAGCATACTAAAAAGCAGCAACACCATACAACAAAATCAAGTTTTAATTTTCATGTCTGTATTATCTTCCTTAAAATGCTATATTAGCATTTATTGATCAAGCTAGATATTAGCTAATTTACCTAATCCATTATGGAAATCTAGAGAGCTTTTTCACACCTGTACAGCACCATTCATGTATATCATAAGTCATGCTGTTCTTTCATAAAGAAGGTGCCATAGCAAAACATTAATTACACTGTGTTAATAGACACAAGGATGTGTGTTCCAACAGCAGTGGTGCTAAACAGACACACACATTTGCTATATTATACTGAGTAGATCAGCAAGAGCTCTATATGAAATACTTAACTTTGTGATTACTGGATATCTGCACCCCAAGAAAATGTGACAAGTAACTGGAGTACAACACGTTCAGAGCACAAGCCTAACTACCTTAAAGCAGAGCATCATTGGCTTTTCTAAACCTAGTTGCTCGCCTTCCATTAACATCTGGAGTTTTTTTAATCTGTAACAGACAAGGTACTGTTTATTGCAGCCAATATGTCTTGTCAAACACAAGTTAACACTGTAGAAAAAGCTCAGTTCACCTACCACAAGAAAGGAATAAGCACCTCAACCTTAAGAATATGCTGCTGTTACTGAAGAGTCACTTTAATCCCAAGTTGTACTACAGCTCTCAAATCCACACTTTCAATAGATTGTGATGCAAAAGGCATATTTCATGCATCAACTGGCTCTTCAGTTTGCTAATACAATCATTATCCAAAAAAAGTTCCAAGTTAACATACTGTCTTTGCTGAGAAGTAGGACTTACCTAATATGTAGATAGTCTTCTGATCACTCCTCTGACCAAGTGAATTAGTGACCTTACAGATATAAGTCCCAGTGTAGTTATAAGTCAGTGGGCTACTGAACTGCAGAGTATTGTTGACTGACAGCAATCCTTCTGGCCATTGTCCATCCAACCTAGAAAAACACAGTTGAATTTCAAATATGAATGTTTACAACTAGTTAAAATATAACTAGTTCAAAATAGTATTTGCAATAGTCCTGAGAGTGAACTTTTCACGGTGCTCTGACATTGTCAGTGGGCTTTCCTTGGATATTCTGCATACACCTGAACATTTATTTAGTATTTAATTTCTGTGCCAAATTCTTTGAAATGTCAAATCAGCTGGCACTAGAAGCTGTGTACAAATGAACACTACTACAGCTAAGAAAACATTACCTCAAAGAATTTGGAGGAACAATCCAACTCAAGCTCTAAAAGCTAACAGTCAAACTAAGATGCACTTATACTGCTGTCAGGATTATCTGCCTGTCCTTTCGTATCTAGTTGAGCTACCACAATAAATACTTCTGTCCAAAAATGCTTAATTTACAGGACATTTTAAACAGAATTCTGAGCAAGCGTTCAAGCAATTTCCCCTCTCTTGACCTGCCTTTTCTCATCCCCCATCACTTTTCCATCTAAATTACAGCACTGAAATGGAATGTGGTGCTTGGTTACACACTTGGGGAAACAACTGGTCAAAAAAATATTTGTTTCTAATCAACTCAGTTTTCCAAATCTATCATGGCCATATACAATTCTGCCTGAGACTGCAGTAACAACTGTGTAAACAGAACAGAGAAAGGGGACAGGGCAAAGGCACTGGAACTGCCTAACAGAGCTGCCAACTGCCCGTTCAACACCTGTGTAATTTCATGCCATTGCAGCCCAGTGTGCTTTTAACTAAGTATCTACTAGCAGCTAAACAGGCCTAAGTCAATATTCAAACATATGATCACCCAATCACAGTAGATTGAAAGCATTTAGCAAGATTTTCTAAGTAGCACTGAACAAAAAAAGCTGCATGACACTTGAAAATATGTACTCAAATGTTAAAAAAAACTCAACCAAAAATCAACCAAACACTCTGCAGTTAACAGTAAAAGGGATTTCCAACAAATGTAGGTTCAAGAAAACATTCCTACCACTTTTCAGTGATTATTGCCCAGAATAAGCCACAGAAAGCCAATTCAAGTGATCAAGTACATACTTCATAATTCACAGTACCAGAAGCATTTATTTCAATAAACATTATAAACCAGTCAATTGGCTTGAAAGCTCTGTCCTAATCAAATTCTCATACATGCAACACTTTGAAATATTACTAACCACAAAAATATCACTATCCCAGCAAAACCAATGTCACCTTTGCTTCCAAGGGATATAGATTTTTTGGTTTTGTAGTTCTAGAAGCTATTACAATCTGACACCAGTAAGACAACACATAATCCAACACAGCTACTTTTCATTTCCTTAAATACTTATCAAGTTACCCTCCTTTGACACGGATTCCCCCACCACCACACACAAACTTGAAGTTCTTCATTCAGCAATATTACAGCTTCTTGGATATGATTTGTTCTTGCTTAAAATGGCATGCTAGTTCCACTCCAAGAAATTAAGCTAAGCTTTCTTGCAGAAGTTGGTTCAGCTTTAACTTTATGAAGTCTAGAAGTGACCTCTGAAGCTTGAAGTCCTTTAAATATATTGAAATATGTTTATTTATTCTGGAATTGGAAGCAGAGGTTGTATTGTTTAGTCCTTACATACATCTCAAATACAGACAAGAGAACTGAGAACCCAGTGCATCTGAATAAACAAATGGTACTGGCATGTTTGTTTAAACATATGAATTTTTGTGTTGAAATTTCTCATTGTGTAAAATTAAGCTAAGCCTGGAATGGGCATGGCAGCCTACTGCAGCAGTAGGTAAAGTATACGTTTTACTAAACCTGCTTTAGCATAGCCATGCCATTCTTACTAGAATTAGTTGCAATATTGACTGAAAATTTCAATGGCTGCTTTTAGGATTGAGTCAGTTACAGCAACGTTTTGTTTTCCTGCAAAACTGCCATCCAGCAATTCTTAACTTATCAACACAACGTTTTCAATCCACATTATGACTACTATTCCCAAATGTTAAATTACATGTACCATTGAGAAGGCAGGAAATGGATTACAGCTTCAGATCAGTAAATATTCCTATTGTCTTACCAACAGAAGCACTATAACAGTGACATATAAACATACACCACTCTTAGGGAAGTTATTTCCTCTGTTTCTATAGGCAACAAGTAAATTTAAAAGAGTTGAGCTTATTTTTTTTTTCTTCACAGGACAGATTTTGCTTGCTTTTATTTTCCTCCTCTGCCTTTTGCCCAAAGTACATCCCTGGCTACAAAAGCAAAGCAGTAAATTTCAGAATAGGGCCCACCTAACCTATATATCCATGAAATGTGACTTCTATGTAAGATATTATTTTTACTGGAGACATATGTTCAAGACCTAGTTTCCATCACTAAGCATTGATCTGATCCGGCAACTACTTCAGCATTTTTGAAAAACATGACAAATTCTGTAATTAAGTAAGCAGTATTTGTGATCTCAACTGTAATTTTCGGATTTTAAAATGCAGACACAGAAAAGTCTGTTCAAGGGTTTACAATCTACTCTCAGTAATAATAAAACAGAATTAATGAAATAATAGTTTGATACCTATCAGGTTTTTTTGGTCTTTGCTCTATATGCTGCAACACATGCAGTTCACTCTACTTTGAGTAACTGAAGAGACTTTACCCTAACAGCAATGACAAACTGTTCAGGCACGTAAATTTACAAGAATTCCACACACCCTTATTCACAGATATAACACACCTTGTATTCTCCTTTTAAAAGGCTGTATAAACCATTACAACCCAACCCAAGTCACATACTCCTTGTTTTCAAAACAGGCATTTACTCTAAGCTAAGCAATTATACCACTCAAACTATGTGGCAAGCCCGTCCTTAGAAATATTTACCTGGACCACGTAAATTCCATAGGTAATGGATTTGCATCAGCATTACATTTGAGCTGAACATTCTCTCTTCCAATGAACCAGTTTCCATCATAGCCAGTTACTGAAACTTCTGGGGCATCTAAAAAAAAAAAATTAAGTATTTTCTCTCTCAACAATCACAATATTTACTTTTAAAGTGGACTGTGTGTAATGATCAGATCAGTGGAGCAGAAAGGGTTTTGGTTTTGGGTTTTTTTTTGCTGTTGTTGTTTTGGCAGCTATTTGTTTTTAATTTACAGACTACCACCACCAAAACACACAGATAACATGATACAATTCCGAGCTACAGCATAACATGCAGCAGTGAATAAATTGTTTTCATCACTGCCACTTTTCCAGTCTGTTTTTGGCAACCACACAGCACCTTGGGGAAGTGAGAGGACTTCAGAAAAAAAGAATCAGTTTCATGTTTTTGGGAAGTGGGGAATGGTAATTTAGAGCTACTTCTCACTAAAGAGATACAGGAAAGGATCAGAAACAGCCTTTGGAGAAACAGCCAATTAGGAAATCACCAAAAAGTTCACAGATGCTAGCTATAAAGGTTAAGTTATCCACCGGCATCAAAATGTAGAATTATGTTATGGTTCTAAAAAGCAAGGAGGCCATTTCAGATAAACCAGAGAGACCTAGGTGCAGTATTCAGGACCCAGAGAACAAACCATCCAATATGATTTGGTATAAGCTCCTACAGCAGAGATGAAGGACCAGTTACAAAGGCTGTAAGGATCAGGGAAGACTGAGTAACACACACGTATTACCTCTGCTTCTTACTTGTGGTCGTGTTGCTAATTATCTAATTTTAGATAAAAATATTTAAGACCAATTTGCATCCTCATTTCACTTAAAATATAGAACTCAATTGTCTTGTTCACTGTTTGGATGAGAACTTCATTTCAAGGTTGATAAAACAAAACAGTACTAGTCACTATTTTATGCCCAAATAAGTGAGTCATTACCAAATAGACTAAGAACAAACACAAACCAGATTCTAGCCAAACCAAGAGCAAAGTCCACAATTTAGGAACTTTGAAGCTGCACACAGGCAAGACAGACAGTTTGCCTTTGTCACATACGTATGGTCTAACAAAAAGATGGATCACATGCCTAAAGCTTATTTGTATTAACTGGTTTTAGCTAAGCAGCACTGTAAGCCAACTCACTTCATATTCACGTGTTTTAAAGCGATACATTTGTTAAACAAGCCTGGTTTAGTTTTGAATTGTATGAGGAACTTGAAGGTGAATAATCAATGTTAGGAACGCATGTATTATGCTCTTGTTTCCTTATGCTAATTAGAGTAGACAAAGCTTAGTGAGTAATTTGAGAAGAACTTACTGACCTCCATAAGACCCTACTTTCAACTTGTCATCTCAAACATGAATCTTCATTAGAATTGTTTTTTAATACCGCTGAAATTTTAAGACACTATAAACAGTTCACAGATCAGCTGTGCTATACTGTGTCTGTAATAGTTTCCATATTAAATATAAACATAAATAATCATGTTTACCCATGAGCCAATATCCAAAACCAACAGTAGAAACACAACAGTGTTCTAGCTTCATGACTCTTTATTTTCAATAGAGACACTAAGGTTCTACTCCTGCCTGACCTATCTCTTATCACAGTTTTTCTATGCAGTTTTCATTTCCTTTGTTTCCCTGAAGGAGAAAGTGTCATCTCCTTCCTGTGGAAGGTACACACTGATAAAGAGGCTGGTTTTAAGATATATACTGAGCAGTAATTACCTTACAGAATACTTACATTGTATGTCCAATACATAAGGGTATCTTATCTCCTTTTCCAAAGCAGGGTGCCTCACAATACAAGTTATGCGCCTTCCTCTTGCAAATCTTGTAGGGACAATCATATACTGACTTACAACTGTCACTGTTTCATTTGGAAACAAAGTAGAGCTGGATTCCATTTCACCAAGGCCTCCTTCCCAGTCAATCTCTGCAGCAGGTTTTCCAGTGGCTGCTGTACAAGTGGCTGCCTCTGTCCTATTTGCACCATCTATTAGAGGGTTTGGTCCTTTTGTTA